AAGTCCTAGTGTTTTTAAGTGCCTATAGCAGCCAACCTGGCTTTCACAACACAGCATCCACAGGTTACCAGTATACAAGATCAAACTTCTAGAAAGGCCTAAATATTAAGTTGAGGGGCTCTCTTCATGTCCCCCTCCATGAACCCAGCACATACCTTTCTGCCATCAACTGAAGCCCATGAGAAAACTTGATTTGGAGCATCCATTCCCATAGAATGAGAGAGGTGAGTACATGTGTGCATTGGGTCACCCACAAAGCCACAGGACTCTGGAGCCCAAGGGCCCTAAGGTGCTCCTTGGGTGCCCTCGAGGCATAGTGTGAAGGAGAAAAGGTTGGGTACAGTGGTAGGATGGCAGGAAAGGAATGGAGGTGGAGAAAGAGAAAATAAAGTAGTGTATCATCACCATGGAAAATCAGTACTTACTTTTTTAAATTTTTTTTGAGACATAATTTGCATAACGATTCACGCGTAATATGTATTATGCAATTCAGAGTACATTCACGAGTTGATGCAACTATCACAACTATCTGATCAATTGCATTTTTTAACATCCCCAAAAGAAACCCCAGCACAAATTAGCAGTCAGTAATTCCCTATTCCATCCTCATTCTGGCTTCAAGCACTCACCAGTCTCTGTGGATTGGCCTTTCTGCCAATTCAAATAAAAGGTCACAATATGTGTCCTTTGGTATCTGGTTTTTTTCACTTAGCATAATGGTTTGAAGTTTCCAGCAAGTGATTTTATTTTTATTACTGTATAGTATTCTATTATATTAATATACCACATTTGCTTATCTGTTCATCAGTTGTTGGACCTTTACATTGTTTCCACTAATAAGTTACATTTACTGAGATTTTATTCTCTGCCAGTTATCACCTGGTTAAATTGATCCCATTTTACAGATAAGAAGGGAGAATGTATCAAGAATTCACCCAAGATTAAGAGCTAGAAAGTAGGGGAGCTGGGATTTGAACTCAGACATTTAAGCCTCAGACGTAAGAGATTTACATAATAAGCCAGGCTCGGTGGCTCAGCCTGTAATCCTGTGCCTTGGGAGGCTGAGGTGAGTGAATTGCCTGAGTCCGCGGGTTCGAGACTCGCCTGGGCAACTTGGTGAGACCTCATCTCTACAATAAATCAAAAAATTAGCCGGGCGTGGTAGCGTGTGCCTGTAATTCCAGCTACTTGGAAGGCTGAGGCGCAAGGATCACCGGAGCCTCAGCAAGTCGAGGCTGCGGGGGCCAGGAGCAGCCACTGCACTCCAGCCTGGGCGACAGAGTGAGGCTCCAACTCAAAAAAAAAAAAGAGAGAGATTTACATAATAGACCACTGGAAAGATACAAAAGGGGAAATTCACCCTTTACCCAACGTTTCAAAGCCACCCACTTCCCTTCTCCCTTAGAGACACCTACTTTTGCCACTTTGAGAATCCAGAAAAATTATTTATACCTCAATGTGACTGTATCATGAGTTATTGAATAATCTGTACCACCAATTTGATATGTTTTTTATAGCATACTAAATTCCTATATATATTTGCATTACTTTATTCATAATTGTCCTGGCATTTTACCTTTTATTTTTACCATTTCTCTAGAATCTTTTGATTTAAAAAAAAAAATTTTTTTTCTTGCTTTTTAAGACATTACCCATTATGTTCATCTACTCTTGTGTTCTTTTTTTTTAATCTCATATTTATTTATTATTTTTGAGTTGGGGTTTGACCTGGTTGCCAATACTGGAAAACAGTAGCATGATCATGGATAACCAATCCTCAAATTCATGCACTTAATCAAGCTTCCTGCCTCAGCCTCGCTAGTAGCTGGGACTACAAGTACACACGACCACACTAGACCTTTTTTTTTTTTTTTTTGAGATGAGGTTCCTCTATGTTGTCTAGGCTGGTCTCAAACTTCTGGGCTTAAGTGATCCTCTTCCCTCAACCTCCCAAAGTTCTGAGATTACAGGCATTAGCACTTTGCCTAGCCTGTTTTTATTTGTTTTATGTTGGAGTCTCACTCTGTCACCCAGGCTGGAGTACAGTGGCACACTCAGGGCCACCTCAGCATCCACCTACTGGGTTCAGGCAATCCTTCCACCTCAGCCTTCCAAGTAGCCAGGACTACAGATGCATGCTACCACACCGGGCTAATTTTTTTATTGATTTATTGTAGAGATGAGGTCTTGCCAAGTTGCCCTGGCTATTCTTGAACCTGTGGGCTCAGGCAATCCTCTTACCTCAGCCTCTCAAAGTGCTGGGATTACAGGCTTAAGCCACTGCGCCCAGCCTGTTTTTTTTAAATAAAGTATTGAAAAACATGGTGGCTTGCTTTCAAGATTTCCTGACTCTGCTCCCCTTTTATCCTTTGTATTTGTTGTCCCTCCTGGCAGTTTCTCCTCTGTGATAAGTCACATCCTGGAAAGTAGCTCTGGCTGCTCAGGTACAGAGGGGCTAGGCTACTTCAGCCCTTCAGCCTTCAGCCCTGTAATTACTCACTTTGGACTGGGCATAACCCTTGCTGTTTCAGCTGCTGTTCTCAAACTGGCCCACTTTGCTTCCAGTGAACACCTGCTGGCACTTTAAAGGCCTCCTGTCTGCCCCTATTCCTTGTGCTGATGGTCATACCTGGCAGGTCTGGTGTCTATTGGTCTGCCCCATCCTCTGTGCTGGGGTTCAGAAGAACTTTGTCCTCTAGTTTGGTGGAAATGCTATGCAGGTTTTGGGTTTTTTGAGCTACTTCCATGAGAGGATTTTGGGAAATTCAGAAAGTACACTGTTGCCTCCATCTTTTTCAAGTCCACCTCAATCTTTTGACGTATTTTAAAAGGAGAAACCCTGCAGTTTTCCATTTCCTGAAGCAGAGCACCATTTGCCCGAAACAAGTTAAGACTCTGAGTCAGACAAGGCTTTCTGAGTCCCTCAGTCTACCATGGCACTTTATTCCTATACTTGCCTCTTCTGTGTCTTGAGTGAGAGTTAAACCAGCCTAGAGAGGCTTGTGGGTTGGCAAGCATTTGGCCACTATTAGAAGTGGAAGAATCCTGCTAAGCAGGTGAAAAATCTAGAGACAGGCCCTGGTCAGGAAGGTGCACCATTTCCTTCCATCTTTTACTTCTCTTTGTATCTACTTTTCTAAACATGAACAAAACTGGATCTCCAATCTGACCTCCTCCCCATCTCACACACACACAAAAACTAGTCCATGCCCAGTTTTCTTCATCTCAGTTAACGGCAATGCTCAGGGCAGAAACCATTGAAGCAATTTGACTCTTGTCTATCCTCCCAACTGCATACCCAGAACATCAGCAAATTCCATTTGTTCTACCTTCAAATTGAATCTAACCTGGCTACTTCTAACCACATTCCTCCATTTTCATGTTAGTTCAAGTTTTCATCATTCCCTGCCTAAATTACTGAAATATCCTTCTAACAATGCAGAGATTCCCAAATTTTCTAGACTCATTAAGCCTTACCTATCTCACTCACAGGCCAAAAGAAATACTTAACAGTCCCATTTATTAGTTAGGTGCCAACAATTTGATAAGTATTTATACCTGTAGTAGGTTAAATAATTGTCACCCAAAAAGAAGGGGTCTTACTCTCTGGAACCAGTAAATGTTACTATATTTAGAAAATGAGTCTTTGTTGTTTTTTTTTTTAATTTATTTTAAAATTGTGGGGTTCAGTTAAAGGTTAGTTATACAAATATTCATTGTGAAGGTACTCTTTTTGATGAAGTGTGCCCCTGCCTTCCCCAGGCAGATATCAACTACTGTTAATTCCAACTCCCCGCCCCCACCGTAGTTTTGCACCACTGTCAATCCTTTTCTTATAGTATTAAAGTAGTTGTTCAAGGTCCACTTATGAGTGAGAACATGTGATATTCAGATCTTTGTTTCTGTGAAAGATCACTCAGTATTATAAACTCTAATTCCATCCAGGTTGCTGCAAAGTTCATGATTTTGTTCTTCTTTATGGCTGCATAATATTCCACTGTGTATATGTACATTTTTTTTATCCAGTCCTCTTTTGATGGGCAGTGCGGTTGGTTCCATGATCTTGCTATTGTGAACAATGCTGTGATAAAAATGTGTGCAAGTATCTTTTTTATAGAGTGATTTGAGTTCTTCCAGGTATATTCCCAGTAAGGGGATTGCGGGGTTATAGGGAAGGTCGATTTTTAGAGCTTTTAGGAATCACCACACTGATTTCCACAGAGGCTGCACTAGTTTACACTCCCACCAACAGTTTAGAAGCATTCCCTTTTCCCCACATCCTCTCCAGCATGTTATTTTTTCAGTTATTGATGATGGCCAATCTGACAGGAGTTAGGTGGTATCTCAGCGTAGTTTTACTTTGAATCTCCTTGATGATTAGTGAGGCTGGTCATTTTTTCATGCATCTGTTGGCTGCTCGTATGTCTTCTTTTGAGAAGTGTCTATTCATATTTTTTGCCCACTTTGTAAAGGGACTGTTTGTTTTTTTCTTTTCAGCACATTTGAGTTCCTTGTAGATCTTAGATGTTAGGCCTTTGTCAGACATGGAGTTGGCAAATATTTTTTCCCAGTCTGTGGACTGTCTCCCAGCTCTCCTGATGCTTTCTTTGGCTTTGCAGAAGCTTTTCAGTTTAATGAGGTCCCACTTTTCTATCTTATCTCTTATGGCCTGTGCATTTGGGGTTTTGCTCAGGAATTGGTTGCCAGTTCCAACTTCCTTCCATAAGGGTGTCTCCTGCATTTTCTAAGGTTCTCATGGTTTGAGGTTTTACATTTAGGTCTCTGATCCATTTAGAGTTAATTTTTGTGTATGGGGATAGATAGGGGTCCTGTTTGAATCTTCTGCATGTGGTCAGTCAGTTTTCCCAGCACTATTTACTGAACAGGTTCTCATCTCTCCAGTGGTAGGTGGTGGAGGCTTTGTCAAAGATGGGTTGGTTGAGAAATTGAGGTTTTGCTTCTGGAATCTCAATTCTATTCCATTGGTCTATATGCCTGTTCTTGTAGAAAATGAGTCTTTGGATGTGATTACAGATCTTGATATGAGGAGATTATTTTTGACTATTAGAGTGAGCCCTAACTTCAACGATATGTGTCCCTATAATATGAAGAGAGATGAAAATTTAATACAGACAAAAGAAGTGAAAGGCAATGTGAGCACAGAAGCAAATACTGAAGAGATGCAGCCACAAGCCAAAGAATGTTGGCAGCCACCAGAAGCTGAAAAAGGCAAGGATCAAAATCTCCCAAGAGCCTCAAAAGGGAGTGTAGCCCTACAACAACCTAAATTTTGCCTGGTGATGCCAATTTCACACTTATGGGCTCCAGAACTGTGAGAATAAATTTTTGTTTTTTTAAGTCACCAAGATGGAAGTGAATTGATAGCAACAGGAAAGTAATACAATGTTCCAACAACTAAGACGCTATTTGAAAAATAATATATACAAGTTAAAAAAATTTTTGATGGTGTGCCTCTTGGACAATATATATCTCAAACCTTGGAATCAAATGAGACACTGCTTGCCTCATTTCCTGTTGCACATTGATTTCATAGGGTACTTGCTCCTTTTTTATATAGCTACTGCCAAAAATCCGATTTCACAAAGATATGGCATCATAGAAAGGAACATAGCATGACTTGATGATAAAACTGTGAACCACCTATTAGGTACAAGCTCACACACTATAGATGTGAAGTATCGCTATGAATCCTTCACAAATTTAAAATATTCTGCTATACACAGATGAATCTGCTGTGGTGTCCTGGGATAATCTTGGCTCACATTTCAATCTGTACTTCTAACAGGTTTTTCTGCTCCCATTTTTGCCCTTTCAAATGTGTCAACATAGCAGCCATAATGATCCTTTACAAAATGTAAGTCAGATCCTATCTTTGTTCAGACCTTCTATAGCTTCTCATTTCTCTCAGAGCCAAAGCCAATGTCCTTACAATGGCTTATAAAGTCCTCCGTATATCAGGGGTTGGCAAACATTTCCTATAAAAAGCCAAACAGGAAATATGCTAGTCTTTGTGGGCTAGATCATCTCTGTCTCAACTACTACACTCTGCATTTGCAGCATGAAAGCAGTCACAGTAAACAGATACACAAATGGGTATAGCTATCTTCCAAAAAAACTTTCTTCATAAAAACAGACTGCACAGTTGCCGACTCTTGTACAATGTGACCTACTGCTATGCGCTCTCTCAGCACTCTATTCCAGCCAAACTGAGCCCTCTTGCTGTCCCTTGAATACAGCAAGCTCCTGTCTCAGGGCCTTTGCACTTGCTATTTTCTGCCTGCAATGCTCTTCCCAACTACTTCGAGCCTTTTCTCAGATCTAATCTTTTCAGTGAGGGTCTCTCTGGTCACACTATTTGAAGTTGCATTTGCCTTACTGTGCTTCTGCCTTCCCTCAATAAATTCCCTTTACCAGGGTCAATTTCTACCTTAGTACTTTGAACTTTCTAATATGCTGTGTAATTTACATCTTTATCATGATAATTGTTTTATCATGATAAATGTTAAATTGTATATACCACTCCCTTGCTCACCACTAAACTGTAAGATTCAGGAAAAATTTTATCTTTTTGTCCACTGATATGTGTCTAATGCCTTAAACAGTATCTGTCACATAGCAGGTAATCAATCAATATTGTCAAGATGGCTGACTAGATGACTACTTTTCAAAAAGAATAAACACAGTGGCATGCAATTCCTCATCCCTCATTAAAAGTGATACTGCCTGGTCATAAACTATTTTTTAATAGAAATATAGAAACTGAATATAAAATGATGAGATCTAAATGTCCCATTTACAAGCCCCAAAGTTTCTTATGTCATTTAACTCTTAATGAAATTGGCAATCTTGAGCATGGCACTTGCACCCCAAACAAAGCTTTTGAATTATTAAAAATAAGTTATATAACCCACAGCTAACTAACATATAACAAGACAACAATATGTTTCACATAAAATGAAGTCCTCACATACACATTTAAGCATAAAGCTTAATAATACACTCACTTTAAAGACCTTTCTTTCCAAGCTTGCAGATGAACTCATTTCAAACTAGTCATTTTTCTTGGCGACAGGAGATCCCAGTCTTCAAAAAGACTGTAGGTAGAGCTCCAAACCACAGATTCATCTTCATGTTACTAGTTTTGAGTAGCTTTCCTCTCAAGGGACATCTTCTTCATCAGGTAATTCTGATTCCAACTGAAAAGAGATATAATTGGTGTGCATTCATTATACACAAATTTAAACTGACCCAGACCTTTGTTACATTTCCTTTTATATAAACGAGCATACCCCACAATGCTTTCTTCCTAAGAAGTTACTTTTCAAACTGTATTTGTCATTTAATATTCCCAATGGGTTCACAGTAATTTTTAACAATAGGAACAATTTTTGTTTAGCACACAGTTTTCATTTGCTTTCAAACCAGCCCCCATACTAGCAACATTCCAGATAGACTATTTTGGTGTCTTAATGCTTGGAGCTCACCTAGGATACCCTTGAGAAACTTGCTCATCTTCTGAGGGCTCTAAGCTTACATCCATGAAAACCTGAAAGAACACAAAAACTGGCTTTTTCTTTTTCATTGTGGAAGATCCATGCCTGATATTGGTCCATCAATATAATACTCAAAACATATCTGCTCAATTAATGAAGGAATCTAGCCTTCAAGCTTTCTGCTTCTAGTTCTAACTGCCTTGTGGAGAAGACTTGGACCATGAAACATAATAGTCATTGTTTTTCATTGTTCATCTCAGCTGTCACCATCATTGTCTAGTCCATTACTGTAATTCATTTGGAGACAGTTAGACAACATTTATCTCCACAATATTTGAATATTCAACAAAATATATTGAGTGCATTTGGAGTCACAAGTCAGTCTACACACTGGACATAGAACTGTGAGCAAGTCAGAAAAAAATCTTGCATTCCTGGAAATTATATTAGAATGGGGAATGAAAGACAATAAACAAACCAAACCATATCACATCCTGGTAAGGACTATGAAAGTGAATTCAAACAAGAATAAGTGATACAAGGTAACTGGGTAGCTACTTAGAATGGGTGATCAGAGAAGTTCCCTTTGAAGAGGTGACATCTAAGCTGAGAAATGAATGACAAGACATACCCAGTCAAACAAAGATCACAATAAAAGAACCCCAGGAAGAGGAAACAGTTGTCCCAAGGTCTTGAGTCAAGCAGCAGAGATTTTCAAGCTAAATCCAGATCTTGATGCTATAGGGTATCTTCTTTTTTGAGGGGGAGTGGGGAGGGGAAGCGGTCCTGCTGGCATTTAGTGAGTAAGGGTTATACATACCAGACAGCTTGCCAAATACAGAACAGTCACATAAATGCATCCCACATCCTGAAAGGCTTTTAAATGTCCTAGCCAACATTAACATAGGTTAAAAACAAAAAAAACGCTCATATTTAGTTTACAACCTAACCCCATTTCACAAATCACAAGGTACTTTTTGTACAATTTCAATATACATTGAATTTTCCAGCAGAGTACTCACTTTATCAATCAAGTGAAGACTATATTTTGTTTTGTTTGGAAATTTTCTAAGAGCCACTCACTATTATAGAAATGCCTACCAGTAAAGCAAAATAACCCACCTAGACAAGTCTGCATAGATAGTTATCACACTTGTGGTGCAAGCAAATATTTCTCTATGTACAAACATATACATGCAAAAACATTTACATATGAAATCCTTTATTACAATATACTATTTCGCCCTTATAGTTAGATTTTACATTGATTTGTTTTTCGTTAGAAATATGCTTGGATGTTAGCTATATGTACCTATGAATTTCATTTCAGGATAGTAAAGAGGGCATTGCAAAGTATTTATATAAGAAGGGAAAATGGAATGTGATAGGCTTTCGAACCAGTGTTCTACACGGTGAACTCAGATTTCTGAAAGAATACTGGATTAGCTTTTGCTTACCTTTTGTAAAGGAACTCTGACAGCCATGAAATGAGTCCCAGGCATCCTCTGATAGAGAGCTAGTTTTCCACCTATTGGACATAGTTTTTTGTTAGCCAAGTGGTATATCAGCCATGTCTCCTTGCATAGAATGAGACTCCTTGAAAACAGGAATCACAGCCCCCTACAACATGTCCCCTCTGGTCTTTGGTTTGCATTTTGCCACTCCACACATTCAATTTGACCTAGTAGCAGCCTATAAGTCCCTCCTTCCTGTTTCTTCATCTTGAAAACAGATGCAAGGCAACAAAACAGAGCAAAGTTCTCCACAAATAAGGCACATCTAATACCAGAGATGGCCAGGATTTATGTATTTCTGATAAAAAACATAGCCAAGTACCCAATACTAAATTGCCATTAATGTGGGGGGCCAGCTCCTGCAGAGATTTGGGGGGGGTCCCTTGGGAGGTGTGGCAGCATCGGCGATTATTCTGGAGAGATAAAGAGAAAGAAAGAAAAAGGGGAGAGAAAGAAAGAGACTGGACTCTGTCTAGTGCAGAAGCCATTTAATGGGGCAAACCGTAAACCTTTTATCCCAAATTTTCACAGATTAAATCACAAGGCTTTCATGTGAACACAAAGCCAGGTGGATGAGGGGCATCCCCCACCCACCAGGTGTTTCCTCATGCATGAGGAAGGACAAACACAAGACATTACATGAACACAAAGCCAGGTGGATGAGGGACATCCCCCACCCACCGGGCATTTCCTCAAGCATGAGGAAGGGCAATCCCAATCAAATCACAAGATATTTACATGAACACAAAGCCAAGTGGGTAAGGGGCGTCCCCCACCCACCAGTGTTTCCTCAAGCATGAGGAAGGGCAATCCCAAAATAATCTCACTGTTCCTCATGCTTGGTTAATATTCCTCAAAAGCAATACAACAATTTCTAACATCATAATATTCCAATGATCAATAACTTTTAAAACTTATGC